GCGGCCTGTCCGCTCGGCCACGTGCGGGTCGTGGAACCCACCCCAGCACCGGGTGGGTCGGAGGGTACTTTTGGCGCAGTCGCTGGTCTCTTTTGCCGCAGCAGAGCGAGGCTCAGAAAGTCCGGTTCTCGTCGCTGTAGAAGGCCTTGAAGCCGTTTGCAGAGCGGAGATCCTCAGGGTTGTTACAAGTGGTGCTGCGAATCCCCTCGCTCCTGTTTCACTGTGGGGACTAACCCCACTCTTAGCTCAGCAGCGGGCAGAGGGGTTCAGGCACACGGGCAGAGCCGCCCAGAGTACAAATACACCTCGTACACAGCCCTGGCCCCACAAAGACGACTTGCCATTTACGCAAGCGCTGAAGCTTTGTTACTCTGCACGAGGGAAACTGGCGCCTGTGACCGAAAAAGCCATCACCGCAAAGGTCTTAAATGAGGAAAGGAGAATTCAGTTCTCGCCTCTCTCTGCCACAGAGTTTTGGTGTGACGTTAGCCAGATTGCTCAGCCTCTCTCATCATGGGAAAAGCAAATAAAAGCAGCGTCTTGACAAGCTAGGTTGCAATCTCTTTGGGACAAAGACTTTGCTTTTCGCTGTGGTCAGAGCCTGGCACAGTTGGGCCCTGTACTTGGCTGGGAAATGCAGGCACCGAGGGAATACACAAGTATGAAAAACTATCATGATCTGCTTGGCAAAAATCAAGATTGCGATGAACTCGTACTAGTCCCAAGAATTGCTACATATTTATAAAATCCAGGGGTTTTACTCTATGACTGCCCTGGTTTTGGCAGGTTACAAGATCATGACCACCACCGTTTATTTTGCAGCTCAGCCTTGGACCAGACAAAATGGTCATAGACCTCACAGACCCAAATCGCCCCCGGTTCACATTGCAGGAGCTGCGAGATGTATTGCAAGAGCGTAACCAGCTGAAAGCTCAGCTTCTCGTGGTGCAAGAGGAGCTACACTGCTACAAGAGGTACATTGTGAAGTCAGCAAAGAACTACTAACAATTACTTCTTGTCTGGGGAGCTTCTCAGATCAGTGTTGCAGGTTTGAACAGCTAGATCAGGCTAGGCACTGCCCAGACATTTAAGAGACATCTCTTCTGCCAAAGCCTACAAATAAGCAAAGAAAAATGGGGGAACGATGAAGTTTCTATACAGCATCATTTTAGAACTAAACTCCCTGTTACTCTGCGCAGCCTGTTCCCGTAATCGCATGGCTGTAAGCCTGCGTAGTTACTCCCACACCATGTACAAGCCAGGTGCCTGTGAATTCATCTGTGCAGTCACAGCAGGTGCACGCTACGGTTCTTGTCTAAAGCCACGCCATGTACCAAAGAGCACAGGGGTTTCCATCTCGGGTTTAGTCAAAGTTTCCTTCCTCTTCCAGCTTGCCATCAGGGACGCTGGCTTATCTACTGTTCCTTTGCTCCCACAGCAGGTATGGCATCGATCGAGAAAGCAGAATATTAAGCCCTTTCATCATCATTCAAGATAAGCTGTGGGGTTTTTTGTTTTAAGACTGCCAACAGAGGGTTAAGACACTTGAACTGTGCAAAACAACTGCTTTCAGAGAGGGATTTTGCTCTTTCTAGAAGGGACCATCACTGTGGCCAAAGGGTGGGATGCAGGAAGGGGCTTGCTTTTGGTGCTACAAATTCATCCACCTCCAAGGCTGCTCTCCCCCAGCTTCTGCCCCTCATCATCAGGCTGCATTACAAACTCCTCGGGGCGAGAATCTGCTTCTTAATCTGAATGCAAAATGCCTGAGCACGTTAGATTTCAGCTGAGATATCTCAGCAACAACCTCTTGGGCACAGCAAGTGAGCCCAACCTTTGCCTTGTCCATAACAGGCAGGTTAAGCCACAAAGTTAAAGTTAAATCCAAGAACTCAGTTGGCAAACTGCTCGGCAGCAGGTCCCCCAGCGCAGCAGGGCACCCCCTCCCCAGCTCCGGGGCCTGCCTTTGCTGGGCAGCCACTGGAACGGCTCCTCCCTTTGATTTCCCAGCCGTGTTACACAGCCTGGTACCGGCCCAGTTAAAAATAAACAGAGTGAATGTTTTGAGTGAATTATTTCAGTCACAGTGCTTTGCACCTAGAGAACGTGTCCAGGCTGCTTTTCAGTTCAGGTAATTCTGGGTGGTTATCTCCTTGTACGGCATTGCAGGGTTAAGCCAAAAACCATCTTCCCTTTATAGACAATAGAGAGGGGTTGTGCAGGGGAAAAGGACAAATACAAATATGTATTCTAAAATGTCTTATGTGCATCAGAAATAAGCTCTGTATAGCATAAAGTCACTGACATCCTCCTAGAGAATGGCTTAAAAGGACTGGTGACGTTGGGGGTTTGCAGTTTTTGTCATGATTTCTGAGGAGCAGTTATCAGGCAGGTATTAGCAACCCGCAGTGTCACCAAACAGCTCATAGCTCTGTTTCTCCAAGAGGAGAATCTGCCTCAGAATTAGCCCATGCCCGATGTCGCACCAATTTCCAGATCCTGTCCTGTATTTTCACTCCCAAGGTCCAGATGAGCGTTGCTTAGTTACTTTCAGCATTCAGCGACTGCAGGCACAAGCTTTGATCCACTCAGCTCTCCAGCTAAATGAGGTCAGCTCAGGACAGTTAAGTTGGCATGCTGTGACAACATAGCATCATACACCAACCGGTAAAATCTAACCCGATTCCGAGCATGGGAAACTTCCTTTGGTGACACCGAAGCTTTTGCCTAAAATAGGCGGTCACAACCTTATGGAGTGTAGCAGCATTGAAGCAGGATGACAAAACCTCCCGCTCAGGCAAAGCCTTTCTTTTCTCCTCTATCGGCTGGAAAGAGGAACAGCCCCCTGCCTTGCAGGGAAGCTGGGAATCTCCCATCTGTTCCCAGCCCCGTGGTGTGAGCCTTCGTGCCTGCGCCGAAGGTACCACAGAGCCACCCATGCAGAAACTCACCATTTGTGTCTGCACCCTCCTGTCATCTTTGGCCTTTCGTACAAATCCAGCATGTAATTACACTTCCCTTTCGCTCCTGTTCGGATTTGCCATTCTTCCTCTCTGGAGAAGTCACCTCGTTACCGTTTCAGTGTTCTCATTAAAGCACAGGCCAAGCAGGATTACACTGTGGTATTTAAGGAAAATAAGAGTAATTCCTTACAAGGAACAGGCCAGGCTGCCATCCCTGTCCTGGGAACACCCATTCACCCACATCCCAGGCTGCCCAGGGAAGGGTTTAACATATGCAATGCCACGCTATGCACAAATCCACAAAAAAAATAAACAAAGCCTCTTCTTTTGCCAGTGGGATCATCTCACAGAAAAAGGACCAAACCGGAGAACTGGAAAAAGAAGCCAGAGGCAGCAGCCCTGGCACCAGCAAGGACAGCGAAGAGAAGACAATCATCAAACGGCTGTGAGTTTGTCTGCATCTTTTTTTGGCAGAATATGGGAGAATACAGCACTCTATGCTCAGTGAATCCAGGGATGAATTCTGAACTTTAGCCTAGTTGGCTGGATATTGTTTTCTCCTCCTCTCCTCGTAAAATTAAAACCCAACAGATAAATCCTTTCCTGGGGAAAAAGCACTCCACAGGAAGGTAACCTCCACCCAAGCAAGCAGGGCGTCACTTTTTTCTAGGAGAAATAAGCATTTCAGAGCAAAAAAGCAATACTTGCCTCCCCTGCTAGCACAGCAAGGCTTTGTTGTGGGAACGTGCCAGCTGTCCCTGGAGGTTTGGTGACATTGTATGAAGCAGCTGTAAGCAGTACCCACAAGCTCAGGCTGCGTCCCTAAAGTTCCCCAAAATAGCAGAACACATTCACACAGCCAGCTCTCTGCATGTTCTTTCTCTTCCAGTTTACATTGTTTCCTTCTTGATTTTTTTTTGTTTTGTTTTTTTTTTAGGTTCTCTTTTAAACATGGAAAATGAGGATTCTTGAGCGCTTAACCCCTCCTGTTCAGAAACGGCACTGATGGGAGCCTCTAAGGCATTAGGGGAGTCAATGGTTGGAAGAAAAAACATCACTCCTACTGTAGAGAACAAGCAATCTCATAAAAATTGTGTTGTATAATATTCTTACAAAACAGATTTTTACTTTCCTATTTTTTAGAAACTGTTTAAGACAGACACTTTTTGTATTTCTTGGGTTCCTGGCAGACATTACCCACATGTAGAGAATAAATGTTTATACAAAGGTGGATTTTATTCTTATTAAGAGAGCCTGGGATGATCTGAACTACCACTTACTATCCTGCCCACCTATCAAAGTGCTCAGCCCAAATCATTTTCCAAGATGAAGATATTTTTAAGAGATACAAGCCCTTCACAAGTGCATTCATACAGAAGCGCTGGGAAGGAAGAACCCGCTCAGATGTGGTCCCTGCTGCTCTTCCACAGAAAGGAATTATCCTGCACTAACACAGAACTGCCTGAAGAAAACCCCAGCGTTGCTTTTTGTTCTGTGTCTTTGCAGGAGATGGGTGATACACAGGCAGCAGCAGGCAGGAGCCTGTCACACCCTGACCGACCGAAGGAAGAGGCAGTTGGGCTGCGACACAGAACCCCTGCACACACAGGGGCAGCGGTTTGGGGTGGAGATGAAAGACAGTGGAGAAAAACAGCAAGGGAAGAAAAGCTGCTGCATCATGCTCTGCCCACAAGAAGGGCTGATGTCTCTTCAGAGGTGCAGAGACGCTCAAACTGGGAGATGCACCAAACATTTCATTTCTGACAGCTAAAGGTCTCCTGTGGTAGACAGCTGCATTTTTCATAAGCTCTGTTCTCCCAGTCAACTGTCACACACTCTGATTAGCTCCAGTAATGAGATTTATCACTAGTGGAAGCATATAGGGCAAACAGAGGGGTAGAGAAGAAGCTCCAAAGTCACCAATTAGGTTCCAGGTTTAGAAGAGTAGAATTTCCAAAGCAGAAAAGTCTGAACAGACATAAAAGGAGCAGTGACAGCTATCAAACTGTGATCTTACTCTCTTCAGAAGTGAAGGCAGGCTCTGAAATCTTTTGATTCCCTCTCATACGCTAGCAGCATGAAAAATATAGGACACTTCACACATCTGCTCAGATGCACAACGTGAGTGCGGCTTTGCAGAAGGCAGAACTGCAGCCTCCTTTCAGAACGAATCTGTTAGCAAGGCAACATCAAAGATGTCTGACCCAAGCCAGCTGGTTTAGCCAGGGCACAGAACCGCTAAAGCCATTTTGCCACCTTCAAAATATTAATAAGCCTTGGCCATGTCCCCACAATGCATTTTCTAGAGCGTGGCAGCAGGGAAGGAAGTTACTGCATTTCCTTAGCAGAGGCTTTGTGTTTAAGAGAAAAAAACCAACGCAAAACCAATCACACAGCAGCAACAGCCAGGATACACCTCTGAGCTGAAAAGAGATGTTTACGTGTGTGCTGAACTCCATCCTCTTCTGTCGTTTATCTAGGGATGTATTTTCTAATCTCCTTTAAAAGAAATGGAGGGGGAGGGGGAATTGTGCCCCAAGACACATTAATCACTCCACTAAGTCTTAATGATACAACTTCAGGTAATAAACCACCCAGATTAGACAGAGCTGTGCAAAGGTATCAGCCTGCCACGGAGGCGCTGAAGACTGTAACATAGCCCTAGGCTGCTCTTTGCAGGTCGTGGAAGGAGACAGTAACGAAAGCTGCAGTTATTCTTTTCAGCTTACCATTTGAGATGTTCTTTATCAAAAAAATACGGTAGGAGTTCAGCAGTTAAAGCAGACAGTTAAAGCACCCTTTAGGAGCTAGGCTTTTTCTGGAACCATCCCAGTTGCCTCCACTCTGGTGCAGAGTGAGCTGCACAGCTTCTCTCTCCAAAGGGGAGCAAATTCCTTGGCTATGTCTGCACCAGAAGAGGCCACAGTCCTGCTAGAGCCACCTACTGCCTCTAGCAAAGCCACACGAGCCCAACAGCAGCAATTTAGCTCCCAAGCCAAGGGGATCTTTCCCTGCTAAGTGCTCTAGGCCTTGTCAGAAGATGCAACCTTCCTGTAAGACAGAGATAAAAATCCAAATGGCATGTTTCCATGGAAAGTATTTTGATACAGATAGGATAGATAAATCTGTTCCTAGAAAAGTAAAGGATACATATTCAGTGCAACATCAGCTTTATTACCATCTTCCGATGCAGTGCTACTCGATACCAGTTAAGCGTTTCAGAGAAGACAATTTTCCTTTTATGTAAAACAGGGAAGAAGCCTTCCCCCTTTCTTGCTTACAGAAGTGATGCTGAAGAACAGAGGTTTTAAGCCATTTGACCTGATAGAGAACAAGCAAACATTTAAATAAAAAAAACCCAAAAGAAGCATTTTATTCCAATTTTGACTTAAGGGAAATGCTCCAGTAAAACAGGATACTGTACACTGCTGTAGTCTCTGTTACTGAGACCAGAGGAAAACCAGTCAGCCGAAGGTCTTACCTGTAACTCAGTACATGTAAGGTAACAGGTCTCCAGTTAATTCTTCAGAAATGGTAAAAACACACAGGCTGTCTCTGACAAGCTTGCCTTGTGTTAAGTGGTAAATAATACAAAGCATTTAATGGCTAATGATTTTCACAGCTTTCTTTCAAAATGCTAATGATCTGCAATGGAGACAGGTACTATAGCAGCCACTTCATCAATAATAAATATATTCTTTATTTTACAGAGACATTGTCTTCAAGTTTTTAATTTAAAAAATACATCACTAAGCCACCTCTCTTGCTGCTGGAGCGTACAACCAGGATGTTGTTGCTATCTATCTGACCTATCACATAGGCAAGCATATAAGATTGTCCTAGAGGGCATCAGCTGGAACAGCAGCAGCCTTCAAGACATGAGGAACAGAAGACATTAACAGAGCCACAGATCCCTTGCTGAAATCATCCAGCAGCAAGTGTGGCTGATGGCTCACAGCCATTTTCATCTACACACGTGCCAAGCCTGCCTTGGCAAAAATTCCAACTGGTAAGAATTCATCTTTAACATAAAGGACCTGCATTGTATTGCCCGCCTATATCACAGGTTGGGTTCTCCAACAGTAACGTAACACACAGCCGCAAGGTGCTAAGCGCTCGACTCCCAGTTAGGACAGCGGGACCAGACCGTGCTGGACAGACCTACAGGACCAGGCAATAAGGAATCTACTTTCTTCATTGCATGAACTCCATCCCTACCATCTGAAGCTGCATATGAAGATGACTCCCGGTTTTGGAACCGCTATGCTCTACTTCAAGCATTCACAGTAAATAAATAGCTTCTGATGTGGCTAATTAGCATAGGAAGGTAATTAAAAAAATTTTTGGAGAGGTGTTTGTTGTTTTGTTTTTTTTTTTTTACTTTAAAACCCTCTGGGAGACACCTCCAAGAATCAGCCATCAGCTATAAAAAGGTACCTTCTGAAGTCTTAGAAAATAAGTAATGTCAACCATTGACTCTCACTGTGAAGTTCTATCTTCACATTTCTACTCGATACCAACCCCGCCTATCAAAATCCATCCTCATTTGACTTGGAGTCATTTCTCTGAAGACAGCAGCCAATTTGGCCAGCCATTTCCCCCAGTGCCAGCACATTTAAAGTTCATTGCCAACATGAGATACGACACTGGAAAACTGGATCCCTACCACGAATTACTTGAGAACGATAGTAGCATCCATCTCAGAGAAGCCTGTCAGCTCTGGGTTGTAAAGAGCAGCCTGACAAGCAGTCAAGCCATTGGATGGACGAGTCGAGTACAGAACTACATCTGCTGCCAAGTTCATCACCCCACCAAGCGGAGCGTGACATTTCATCGCAGAAGCGGGAGCACAGCCCGCGTGGTTAAGTTTCTGTGCAAGTCTTCGACTGCGTGCTCAGGTGGCACTGGCCACTGTGCAGAAGTATTCAAATTTTAGGGGAGGGTTTCCTTTTATGATATAAAAGTTTTGGCAATCTAAGATCAATTATTTGAGCTTGCCTGGAAAACTGCAACAGGTATTTAAATACTGCAAAGCAACAAGGTAGTTTTTAAAGAGCTCAGAACACCATAAGCAGCCCACTAAGAAAGCCAAGGGAAGTGAGGACAGGGGAAAAAAAAAAATCCACTGATTCCTTGTAGAGCACTCAGTCCAAAAAAAACCCCAAAACCAACCCAAACAAAGAAGATGGATTAGTGTTTCAGCCACGGATGAGCTTCAATGGAAGCTTTGCTTCTGTCTCCATAGTCGTACAACAGTTCTTCACCTACTTTAATGTCTCTGGAAGCTATCAGTATGAGATGAGGCACACCATTGATGTCATGAAGCTTCGTCTGACAATTGCCACATTTGCTGTGATTAATCAGTCTTCCCAGACGATTGGTTTCTTTTGTAGCATCAACACTGAAAGAACAAGAACAGAATTTGGGATTGCTGCGTATTATGCAGTCGTGTTTGTGGACAAAAACCAAAGCACAGATCAGATAAAGAACGGCAAATCCACACAAGGCTTGAAAAATGCAGGAAAGCCAGAATATTACAGAACGTTCATATGATTAAACAGACAGCACGTAATGTGGCAATGTAGGCAAACTAAAACAATTCTGAGAGATTTTTAAGTTAGCACAAAACCCAGAAAACAGAAAACTTTGGACTATGTTTCTGAGCTGCCTGTTTCCAAGCAGCTCTCAACTGTTCATGAGAAGGACCCAGATGTAGACCACCACCAGAAAGGCCTGATACCCCAAATACACTCCCCTCAAGAAAGCTGTGTCCAAGCTAAGTAGTCTCTACAGAGCAACCCAGCAAGAGTCTCTACTCACACGTAAGGCTGAGAATGCCCAAATACTACATGCCCAACTTCCAGAGACCTGGATACTATGGCTCTGGTGCCCCTCACTGCACCAAGAACTGCTATGGCAGCTGTCATTACTGCATCTAGACTGCAAGTCAGAGACTTTGGGTACAGGGTGCTTCGAGGTAATTAATATACAGGTTAAGTGGCCCACACTCCAGTATACTGCAGTATCACCCAAGGAGGAAGGAGCATAGTCTGAGCAGTTGCTTTGAGAAAACAAGAGTTTGGAGCAAATGAAACAGCAGAGTGATAAAGTATGCACATGGGATGGGTGTCAGGTCCCAGAGAGAGGAGAAGACCCAGTCAAAGACAGTTGAAGGAAACATTTCTCTTCCAGAGAATTCATCCATACTGCTTTTCAAACAAAATCCTCCTAACTCAGGGAAAGTAGTGAATTTTACTAGAGAATAAATTTAGGCAGAAGTCCATGGCAGAGCCAGAAGTCTCAACCAAGAGATACAACTCCCCATATAGCTTGTGCTGTGCTTCAGAGAACAGGGCTTTGAGTCACCTACCGCTCCTTTTAGCCCAGAGGTACAGGAAGCTCTTGGACCATGAAACAGTGCTCCCAAAAGATTTACGAATTCATGCATCCCTTAAAAAAAATTTTGCATGGAAACAAGAAAAGACTCAGCAGCATTCAAAGCCTCCATCACTCAGCTATCACATTTAAGGGAAGAGAAGCTTACCAGTACGTTTTGCTGAGGTACTGAAAATAGTACATATAGCAGCCTGTGGATGGGTCTTGAGCATACACAGCTTCTCGCTTTTTCGCATCAGTGATCTCTATGAGATCCCCATGATATTCAACTACAAATTCTCCTCGATTAAAATGTTTAGTAGCGATTACTCCTCTCCCTTTGCCATCAATGTAATCAATCTGTTGAGTTGAAAAGAAAAATCAGCTGGGGAATTAGAAAGTATTTACATGACTGCAAATATGCTGTTTACTAGGAAATGAGTGATCTGTCATTAAAAAATGCTACAGCAGGGATGTGTATCACAGACAAAGCCGTAGAAGCACAATATGCAGCATTGTGGAAGAAATATAGGTTGAGTTTGGGACACACCCGTAGTTACCAGGTATTTTGATACAATGTCTTCTCATCAAAGAACTAAGAGTTACTTTAAATGAGCCATACGCAGAGAAGAGTTACCTATTTTTTTTTTCTTTTAAACTACCTATTAGCTGAGGCAGTAAGCTTTTCCATTTCAGGTACACCATGAGCACACGCAGGTTAAAAAGTTAAAGGAACAGAAAGATCAATCACATAAATAATTACATTTATCACCCACCAGTATACTTCACTATTCATGCCTCCCCCTGTAAACTGGACAAGTTCTCCTATCACTGTTGTGGGTGTGACAGCATTAACTGCAGGCTGCTGCTTTTCAAGAATCACAGCTCTCCTGCACTTCCAGGAGACACTTCTGCTTTAAATTCTAAACCAGGTGACCAGAGTAACCCAAGTGGTAGGCACCTGGTCGCAATAACTAGCATTTGCTAGCAGTGGGAGGAAAACCAGTACAACCCATTATCCCAAGAGCCATAATGAAGACCCACAGTGCCTGGCTGTAAACAGGCTAAGAGAATTTGTTACCATACAGTCACCTTTTAAACATACGACAATCAAGATGCTGTATCTAACCCCAGTTCTGGAAGCTAACCCAAGGAATGAGATACTAAAGGGAGCAAGTGCGTTTTCAGTAAAGACTATAAAGCCCCCCTCAATATTTGTGACTGAGGCTGCACATACCTACTCTTCAGAGCCAAACTGCCCATCCAAAAGGAAAGACAGTGTGCTCTAGTTTTGCTGCACTTTCATCCTACTATCGAGGAACTGCAGCAGTCCCGAGACCAAGTTCTGCTGCTTTCTGCATAGAGAGGTTAACAGCAAGATACTGTACAAACAGTACATGGCTGCTCAGGTTGGCATTGCAGTTACCTTCATTCCTTCTTCTTTCCCACTTGTAATTAGCTCATCTATTTTCCTCCTCTCCTCAGTCTGCAGAAGACACAAGAAGAAACAAAACCACAGTATTGTTGATAGCTTTTCTTTTGTAGCTTATTCTATAGCTGAAAGGAAATTATTAGCCAGTGACACCCATTTTTCCAAACCATCCCAAGTTTCTAGCAAAACTGAATGGTAAAGAGACAGATCTCTGCCCCCCAAAATACAAAACCAGCTAAATTCTGTCCTAGAAGAACTGGATCAGCATTTCCAAGTTTTAAGCAGTACTTCCAGTGCACAATGCTGTTTGTGTTTGGCCAGTGGAAACCATTTACAGATCATTACGCACTTCCTCAGACATTCAGTTAACCAGCAGCATTACAAGTGATGTTATTTTAACAAGAAGCACTACCTCCAATTCAGATTTGCTCTTCCTGGAACTTCTTCTGACTGGGTAATAATCTGTCACCTTCCGATTTGGTGTTCTTCCTTGTGTTCTAAGGGATAAGAAAAATAGAGAACACACACGTTTCAGACTATTTGTGAAGTTACACCTCTAGGACAGAGGGATCTGTAAGAACTTTTTATTTTCAGCCTGATACGTTGATGAGAGGTGGTCGATATGAATCTGTGTTTCTTATCAATACTCTTCACTTCAAGCCAAAAGCCACATTCCCTTTTCTTCCCCACACTATTTCCATTACTCGGGTACTAATTCTTTAACGACAAGAATGACATGCCATTGGAAACAAACTGAAGGTCACATTACAAGTCTGAAGCCCCCTGTGTGCCTTGCCAGAAGGCACTCTAAAATTTAGGTCATGAAAACTGCTTGGCAAGGAATTAATCAATGTTAGGTCACATTCCTCCGATGCCATGAGAAAGAGTATCAGCTCAGTCAGGAAGCCTCCAACTGTTCGTTTCTGACAACACACATTCCCATTTGTCCACAGAAAAGTAGGTCTTAATGGCTCATTAATTTCTTTTTCCAGAGGTGACCAGCGAGCATTTCACTTGAGATAAAATACACCAGCCTTGCTTTCAAGAAAAACAAAAAGTCCTCTGCCAGGTAGATAAATACTTCGGGTGCTATTTTGTATTTTTCAAATACTCCTGAGAAAACAAAGAAGTCTCACTTAAGATTTGTTCCCCCCAACATAATCATTTTCTTTAAAAAAGGCAATAAAACAAGAGTAACACCAATTACAGGTCTGACTACAGCTCCTGAAGGACAAATGCCGATCAAAGCCTCCTGGTGCAAAACAACGCGCAGAAGAAAAGCTTTTACAATTCCAGAAGTCACTTACTTTCTCCTTGGTCCACGTTTTGCTTTAACCATCTTTTTCTGAGCCGGCTTTGCATTGGCCTCCTCGGCACAGTCTGAAGGCTGGGGCGTCTTTTGAGTTTCTACAGTTTCTTGGTTTTGATCAGAGGAGGGCACTGAAGTATTGCACCCGCTTGCTTTATCTTTCTGGTCTTCTGGTTTCATAGCACCTTCAATTCTATTGCCACCATTCTTTTTTTCTGGTGACAGGAAAATAAAGTCAGGCCTGAACTTAGGATCAACTATACCAGAGTGCTTTAAATGAATTCCAATGGCTTCTAGTCCAAGTTTCTAGTTCTGTCAAACAGGAAAAGAGGAAGGGAATGATACAAACTCCTCCTGCTAGAATCCAGATAGGCTGTTACTCAACTTTTGACTAGTCATTGCTACAGTACACATCGTACAGAGGGAGGGGTGAGCAGAGAAAGGGTAAAATAGAGCCCAAGTACTTTGTCACGTTAGGTCTGGACTCAGAGTTCTCCAACTGAACATGCGGCACCTTCAGTGCCGTGTTTGAAACAACCGCACAGATTGCATCTGGCACACAAAGTTATCAAGTTGCCATAAGCCAACCAACATCCCACCCTGCAGAGGGCAGGGAAGCCTCTCTGGATCCTGCCCTGCTGTGATCAGTAGCTGCAGGTGCTGGTACCAAGTGGCCAAGACCACTCAGACAAAGCCCACAGGAGCTAAAGGGCTGGCACTTAAGAAGTATACCCCCCCCCACAACCAACACTTTCTTGGTTGCATGCATCCTACCCTGATATGGCCACATCCTCCTTCTCAGTCAACTGATTTAGAGGTAGGTGAGTGTGGCTTAAAGCTGAATAAAGTTTTTATTTACAGCAAATCACCAGGTTTAACAGTCCCATCTGCTGAAATAGATGCTTCAGTCTCACTGGCGAAATGAAGCACAGCTGCAAGGCCACACCAGTGGGACAAGCTAAAGCCATCCTCATGTTCTTGTCAGAACTGGGGAGCTAAATTACAAGCCAAAGTTTCCAGAAAATCTGACACTCCCTGTGTTGAGTGGGACTTAAAATACCTGCTTGCTAAAAGCATTTGCATTAAAATGTTTTGACAAATTACCAATGTTATTAAATGCACCTTTAAACACAAGCCAGCCTTTTTTCTCCCCCTCTGTAAACTTACAGAACATCCCCATTTCTAGTCACTGCAACAAAGCATCTATGAAGCCTGGCGCTCAGCATCCACCATCTGCGCTCCTCCTCCTCACTGCCTTTATGTCATCCTGAAAATTTAAGAATCCTTTCTTCTCCTACCAGTACCTCTACCTTGTACCTGATTTGACTTTGAATCGCCTTTATACAAATTAGTAGTCTGCTTACAGAACAAACCAGTTTTAGGTAATAAAACAGACCCTCAGAAAATTAGAGAAACTGCCAAACACTGACCTGAAGAATCAGAGTAGTAACAGAATTGCAGGGAGATCAGGGCATACTGACAATGCAAGCACTAGCTTTTTATATCCAGAGAGACAATACAAACATAGCCAGACAAAAAAACTGAGGAAAGATTGCCTGGTAAACCTACGACCTAAGGTTTGAAAAGGATAAGGACACCCTCATCTTTATAGAGTCACAGTTTGCAGATAGAGTTGTAGGACTGGGAAAGCAACCGGGCCAGGGGAGCTGCCTGGCCTTGTGGACTGTGTATGACAGTTTTCAAACTGGGGGTGGGCAGACCACATTGAAGGAGGCAAACAATCCAAACAGCAGTCTTACCATCTCCTTTCCTGTAGGTTTCGTTTAGTGTTTTGCCCTGACATTTCACCTCGTGATACATGACAGAGTTTTCTTCTTGAAGTGGGGGGCGAGCACCAGGAGTTTTGTTAGGATTCAGGTAGCTGTAGATTTTGGATTGACCAATAAACACATTCTCCTAAAACAGACCCACACAAAAATCAGTACATCATAGAGATGCCAAGAACCTCAAGATAGTATCCACAGCACACTGCAGAGAGTAGAGCCGACAGCTGACTGTGCTAATGCAAATTATGCTGTAATGCATCATCCTTGCTGCTGTTGCTATTTCTACTAAGTGAAAACATAACTGTGGCAAGCGCTCAGAGATCTTTGCTAACACAAACTCTCAGTCCAAGAGAGCTTTCATGTGAAATGTGACAGGATGGGGTGGTCATAACTAACTCCAGCTTCCACGTTGTGCTTCACAGTATGAACTCTGGTGCTAAAAAAAACCCATCCCTGAGCTCCTCAGAAGGAAAGTGGCCTCAAGGAGTGCAAGCCAAAAAGCATACAAATAACCCAGCAAAAATTGCCCAAGCCTAGAACATACCTCTCATAGCCGGAGAGGTATGAGCTTACCCAAAGCCTCTCATGAGGCATCAAATGTTATTGCAGTTACTTCTATGCTCTACTGAGCAACAGAAGACAAGAATCAGGGGTTTTGCAGAGTCTACCTTGAGTGACACCTCTCAGTGAAGTCTGGGAGACAAACAATGCTACCTTTTTATCCATTATATTTCACAAAATAAAGCGTAAAGTTAATCATAGCAAAAGAAACATTGAAGAGTCTACGCAAAGCGCTTGTGCCCAGCCAGCAAAATGGTAAAACCCTCTGGCCTGGTCAAACACCAGGGACCAGGGTGCATCCACTGGCTCGGGCTCCAAGAACACCAATGGTGAGCAGTATCAAATTTAGCAGTTTAGTGGAGTCGTGTCACCTTTGCTTTTACAGTCTCCTGCCACCTCGCCAAGTTTGACTGTGCAGTGTATGTAGGGCAGACAGATTGCAACCGTGAAATCTCAGTCTTTCGACAAGCAGATGCAACTTGGCCAGAATGGGTTTTTCTTGGCTATAATTTGACTAAACTAAAAGCAATTTTCAGACATTGCAAGCCAGTTAAAACAAGAAAAACATGCTTTTTTTAAGAAAAGCACACAAAGGTTCCCATTAGTTAAAGAAAAAGCTCAAATATGTTTGACTAAACAGATACTCCAGTATATATAGTCACACAAACACCAAAAAAAGTAAACAAAGCACACAACAGAATACATAGGATGATTTTAATAATTAATATAATCATGAGTAACAAACTTAACGCGTACATAATTCACACACAAAATAAGGCCAGTTAGTGTCTCAAATTTTAGTCCACAAACAAACTTCACTGAAGATTAAGATTATAGCAGAACAGCCTGAGAAAAAGCAAGTCAGTTAGACGTTCTCTGACCCCCAGTATTTCCAAAAGGCCTATGAAAGACAAGACTTGCTTATTAAAAAAATGGGGCTTTTAATGATGAAATACTATGAAAACACTCCATTTTAGCAACTGCAAGCAGCGAACCCTGCACCACACAGTGCTCAAGATTTAGTGAAGAGTTTAAATATGGGCATTTCCGCAGAAAGCCAGCAGCAGGGAACTGCAGCAGTCCACCTGCCAGCAAAGCGGCCTGGCTCTGAATACACCATTAACAGGAAACGAGCAACTATTTTTCCAGCGTTGCTTCCCCCCCACATTCCCAGCTCCCCGCCTGCTGCGCTCTTGGCGCTACCGAGACGCGGCTGCCACGTCTTTGTCTGTGCCAGGCTTGAGACCCTGGCGAGCAGGGAGTTTTCTCAGCACGGCAGAGCACATGAATGGCCGCTGAGGAGCTCCAGGATTTGATGCAATGGCCACTATTATTTCCATGGGGGGGTTAAATGCAAAGTGACGATCCATCTCCGGCCAACTGCCTCTGACAGAACTACGGGACAGGGCAGATAGCACGGAGGGATTGCCGAGCCTGGGGCCTGGCTGCTCGCTGACAGCCCCGGCAGCGCCCCGCGCTTGCGGAGCGGTTGCGGCAGGGCACGGGGAAACACGGAAAGAGTCCGATTCCACTTAAAGTTAACCGATTTCTGAATGATCCGAGGAGCCCCAGAAGCCGGGCGCCCGGGGCCA